TCCCCCCCCCAAAAAAAATAGAATGGGGGGGGGGAGGGGGGGGGAATTTTATCAAAACTGGAGCAAATTTGCACTGCAACCAATCAGCTTCTGTCTCCTTTTCCAATCTTACCTGAGCAAACCGTAGAGATGCTGATTGGTTGGCCTGGGAAACTGCACCAGGTTCTGTCTGCTCCAGTCTTGATAAAATTCCCCTCATTGTGTTCTTCAATCTATCATTAAGCAGTTGATGATAAATAGAATTATGGAGCACACGGCATCTGTTCTAACACTTGCTGGAGTGGCAGCTGTTGTGGAGTTACTGATAGTCAAAGATCTGCCTGCTGCACATGCCCCCATCTCCATTTTCACAGCGCATGAAAACCCGAGTGCTGTGTATATCATTTAAAGATCTGTCCTTAAGTTACACTGGCAGCTCGTGTGATTTCAGCGATCACGTGCAGTCATCTGTGTTGGAAAAGGTGTACAAATGAATGTAGAAGGTGCTAGACCTATGCAGGCACACTTGCTCCTGTTCTCATTACACATAGTCATGTGCTTGGCATATCAGGCGGCTTTCATCAATGTGTGTCCTGCAACATTGAGAATGTGACGAGCTGCAGCTGCTAAATCTCCCATAACTGCTTCCTTCCTGCTATCCCCAACCTGACTGCTTTTTAGTTGGGACTGCACAAGGTTAGACTTGACACAGAACTTAAAGAACTAAACTGACATCTTTCAAGTATCCAGTGCCTGGTGCTCTTATTGCCTGGATTTGTTGACATTCTATAGTTCAGTCACAGTCGTTTAAATTGACACCAAACTCAGGAATTGAATCTTAATGCATTTAAGTGCCCGAACTATTAACAACATAGTAGATTTGTGTATCACTGGTGCTGTAGATCCTGAAATCATCTCTGAATTGGTGCTGACACTGTCCTTCCTTCTGGAGGGGGGCTACTTTTGTTTGCCATGGTCCCTGTGTGTGCTGTAAACAATACAAATTAGTAAACGAAACGTGAGATTGTAGTCCATCACAGGAGCGAGCTTGGAGCGGTGACTACGTTACAACACACACAGGGACCATGGGGAACAAAAGTAGCCCGCTCCAGAAGAAAGGACAGTGTCTGCACCAATTCAGAGATTGGAGGATCTACACACATACGTTTTGTTAGGCCTCGTTCACACGGTTAAGTGTTTTTTTTTTTTTTTTTTTTTTTTTTTTTTTTTGCACAGCAGCTTGTTCTCTATGGGAGTAGGCAACCGTACACTAACCCGAAAGATTCCACTTTTTTTTTATAGCAGATGAAACTATTTTCTTAGAGGCTATGTAGGCAGTGTTGTGTTTTTACCAGTTGCAGTTCTATACAAATCTCTCGCAATCAGACTGAAATTGCCAAAGCCTGCAGTTAAAGGGAACTTGTCATGAGGGCATATAGTTATCTTGCCATCGCTGATCTATCCTGAAACGCTAGATGTCTGGATTGATCCATAACCTCAATGCTTTTTAAGAGACTGACCTGGAACAAGCACGCAAATCTTGAGTCCTGACTTTGTGATAGGTGCGTTTCCTGGGTCAGTAACTAAAATTATTAAACATGGTGATAGCCAGATAACTATCATTGTCAGACAAAGTTCAGTAATGGAAGCCCTCATGTTGTCCTGTCAATTACACTTTCAGGTAGGTTTGTCCACTTGGTAATTATGCGCACCAAATACAATGAGGGGAATTTTATCAAAACTAGAGCAGACGGAATCTGGAGCAGTTGCCCGTGTTAACCAAAATCAGCTTCTTTCATTTTCAAAGCTTCACTGAACAAACTGAAAAGAGATGCTGATTGGTTACTATGGACAACTGCTCCAGATTCTGCTCCAGTTTTGATCAATTCCCCCCAATGTGATTGACGAGGTGTGCTGAGGAACTGCAGGGGAAAAAAATGTAACATTGTATTTATTGTTGCTGAGTGATTTAGCCCCTAAATGGTTTTGAAATACCTCTACGTAGGTCAGGAGTCTATAACTCTGCTGAACTCAGCCAGCCACCCCATCCTAGGACCCCGAAAAGGGGATGGATGTGTATTATTGGAGTTCAGACTTCTAATGGTTAGAACAGAGATCACTGACTCCAGTAGGGCAGCCAGACTGTCTTCCTACTAGACTCAAATGTGGCTCAGCAAACACTTTATGGACAGCTTGGTTTGGCACCCGTCTTTCTTGTGCCACATACTAGGAGTCCTCAAACAAGTTTAAAAAGCCAGACCACATCAATTCCTATCAAACCGTATTGGGCCTTGTTCACATGGGTGTAAAAAATGAGCGTTTGCTTTGCATGAACCAAGCTTTCCAAATGCTTGTTTGTGAGTAGTGAGCAGTCTAGTGCACACTGATTTTTGTTGCCTGCAAAATTTGGATGGTGTTGCATCTTGCTGCTCTCCAAGTGAATGGAAGCGTGCTGCAAATGTGTTCTGAAAATCCCTCAGGCATTTGGTGAATGTTTGCCGAGCACTTTAGCATGGCTCTTTCCTCGTTCTCCAACCTCCATGCCTGAGAGCTTTCCAACACCACCAAAACATACCGGAAACGCACATTACCGCTGCGGGGGTTTCCGAGGCATTTTACTCTCCATGCCCATGTGCACTTAACCTTAAGGCCTGGTTCACACCTAGGCGACAGCGTTTTTACGAGTGTCTGTGATGCACGATTTTATGCGCATACGGCAAAAAGTGTGTTTTTGTGAGCAGATTTTAGCTCATTGACGTTCGTGATAAAATGCGCAAAAACACAGCAAACGGACGTTTTCAAGTGTTTCCTATTCAGTCTATGGGGCCAAAACAAGCTGGAATATGCCCCCAAAAAAAGCTTCTGTACTTCAGCGACAGGCGTTCTGCTTATTGCGACAAAACGCTCGGATGTGAACAGGGCCATAGCAATTAATGGGATTTTTTGGAGTGTTTTTTAGGGCAGGAAACGCTCTACAAAACGCTCAGTGTGAACCAGGACTAAAGGTGTACAATGTGGACAGGCAATAATTCAGTGGCTTTGCCCCCCTTGCTTGGGATTTTAGAATCTGTGGCCATTTTACCAACCAGTTAGGAGCTTGGGAGGCGAGGATGTTTTCTAAAAAAGACAAAGCATCATATGGCTGAAAGTTTCTATTCTTTCTACAAACCCATATTTGGGTTTGTAGATGAACGGCTGGTTATGTCGCTGTGTTTTTTTGTATTTTATTTAAACTGTAATGTCTTTACACAATGAAAGGTGCTCCTAATTTACAGGTTTAGTCTTGTGAATCACTTTTGTGATGGCTTTGGCTGGACCCACAAGCTGACCCCTTGAACGGAGCTGCGGACTTCTGTGGCACATACAATGATTCTAGGAGGGGATGGTTTTCATGTGCATCCGTTTTATTTCTTTCAGTGCTTGGATTCGACAAAATTCCTCTGTGGGGTATCATTCTCATCTCTGTGGGGTGCGCCGTGATTTGTGCCGTGGTAGTCTGGTTCGTCGTCTGTCCCAGGATGAAGAAGAAAATAGAACGTGAGTGTCTCATCTCGCTTCCATTCTTTAGAGCCTCGGTATTAATAGCCGCAGTGTAAAGTCAGATGTGAACGTGTTGGAAGTCTGTGAAATTGTCTCGGTGGTGATGAATTCTTTTTTGGGGAATGGTCTGGTCACCTAGCATTAAAGCCCTTTATAATGGATTGTATGTTTATTACCACAGAGAAACAAATCCGGACTCGAGGGCCACCTCTCATGGTTTACTGTTTTGATGCAAATAGTTGGACATGCCTGCTGCACACCATACAGCGTTCTGACTGGTGTAGATGAGTTAGGTGCTCGCAATGACTGCCATGGATGGCGCCTTGCAGAACCTCAGATGTGAAGATGGTCCCCAGCACTCCAGTATGCAAGGCAAATGTTGTGCATTGTAAATAACGTCACCTGGGTCAAAATGGCCAATGTTTCGGGGCCTCACTAGGTCCTTCCCTTAAGGCAAAACCGTGACATGGTTTCTCCTTGGGGAAGGGACACTGCATGGCCCCGAAACGTTGGCTATTTTTTACCTATGTGACGACATTTGCAATAATCGATATTCTCCTGGCATATTGGAGTGCTGGTGACCTATCTTCACATCTTTAATACAAATGGGACTTGCTGTAAGCTGCAGCGCCCCAACACCCCCCCCCTTCCTCCAAGGTGTTGCTGTAAGAAAAACTAAGTTACTATTCTGACTTGTTCCAAAGCTCTAACCATCTCCTTGGCTTGTCTTCCAATCAGGTGAGCTCAAGTCCAGCCCCTCTGAATCCCCACTGATGGAGAAGAGCAGAGATCGCAGCCATATCCTAAAATCAGATCAGGATGTGAAGCTGCCAATTGACAGCGGTGTCGCTGCAGAGACAAAGGTGCCCATTCTCGACCTAGTGTCTGTGCCTATACCCTCCCGGGCAGTAGAGGAACGGACTGTAACCTTCAAGATGGGTGACGGAGATGACTTATCTGAGAGAGAGAAGTGTCAAAGTATGGAGACCAACATTGACCAGCCAATGCATGGTGAGTGATTTGCTACACACTTCCCACCGTTCAAGAAATAGACTGTTTATTAAACACTGCATCATCCTCACATCAGAGTTCCTGCTCCTTGTAGTGCTCAGTGACACTAAACTCAGGAGTTCAATCTTAAAAATACATCCAAGTACCATAACTATTAACAAAAATGTATCTTTGTGTATCGGCTGTAGATCCTCAAATCTTTGAATTGGTGATGACACTGTCCTTCCTTCTTTGATTGCACAGATTGCACAATGCTGAGTGATGTACAAAGAAGGTACAGTGTTAATTAAGGTACTTGAATGCAACTCCTGAGCATAGTGTCACTTTTAAGGCCCAGCTCCAGCCAAAACTCATTGCTTGTGATGGATTAGGAGGACCTCAGGCAAATTGTATTGTAGGCGGTCAGTTGAAGTTTTTTTTTTATTTTTTATGTCCCCCTTCCTGTCCTGGTGGACTC